CCCACACATGCCCACCCATTGACACAGATTTGCCAAAGCACATCTTTTGCAGGTATGAAGACACATATACCCTCATAAAAGCAGGGTCATGCACTTTCAGGTCCTGACGTACCCTCCCGCCTCCCCTCTTCCCCCCTCCTCCCCCTCCCCCACACCCTGCCACATACTAGACAGTCATGGGAGATCAAACACCTTCCACCCCACTCCACTTGTCCCTGCCTCCTGCAAGGTGGGCTTCTTCCAGAAAGCAGCCAGCCATGGGGAAGTAACTGACTTCACCTGCCACAGCCTGACAGCCTGACATCCCTGGATTTCACCCGGCTGCTCGGGGGAGACATGTCTTTCTCCGGCCCCTTCCCAACAGGTCTCATTTCTTCACGATGGTTCTTGGCTCTGGCCTGTCGAACTAAATCCTCAGTCCCTGAGTACAACACAACCCGGGTACCCCGACCCACCCTCTGAAAGGATCCAGGCCACTGTTCTCTCTCTGGATGTCCTCCCAGCACCTTCTCTCAGGATCTGTCCCATACCTGCCTCCTCCAAGAAGTCTTCTCAGATTCCACCTGTTCTGTTCTAAATGTCATGGCTCCTAAGCACCCCGGAAGAAAACCGCTTTCTATCTATTGCTTGTTGTCTGTGCTTGTGTTAGGTCTGACTCAGGGGAGTGCTGTCTCCCCCATGAGATGGGGGTGTCCTGATCCTCACAACAGTGTCCCCACCCTCCAGGGTCCTGCCGAATCCTGTCCTGGGAGCAGACTCAGGAGAGGGTGTCCGCTGTCTGGGCAACACGATATTCGAGACCTCTGCTGCTGGTTTGCAGAAGACCCCGATGGATTTGGCTCCAAGAGTTAAAAGCTTTGCCCAGAAATGACTGTAATTCTCTGTGGAGAGCAGCTCCCCAGCTGGTTTCTGAGGCGGGAGATGCTTCTCACTCACTTCCGTGAATTCCCTGAGGAAAGTCATCCTACGCCGTGGAACAGAGGAGCATGGAACAGAGCCAGCGAGGTGAGCAGTGCCGGCAGAACAGGGAGCAGGGAGGAGGGCCACACACTCCGAGGGCCTGAGGACAGGCATCAGAAAGGAGAAAGGGGGGAGGACGAGAAAGCGTGGAGTGGAAGACAGCAGAAAATGTTGCGGAAAAGGTAAGAGGAGAAGAGAAACAGGAAAAGGGAAAAATGAGGAATGATCAAAAAAAAAAAAAAAAAAGAGCTATGACAGAATGAGAAACTAGATGGCCTAGAAACACATACCAAGACCGGGATGAAACGATAAGAACATCTCCCTCCACCTGGAGCTTCAGGAAGTGTTCTCGGGAAGTTCAAGTGTCCGAGCAGGGGGGCTGGGGACTTCAGCACCTGTGATAGGTCAGTGGCATTCTGTTGGACCCGTTAGCCTTGTAACACCCCTAGGGGGTAAGCACTATTGTTAATGACTTTTTACAGATCAGGGAACCCCAGATTAGAGTGGTGAAGTGACATCCCCCAGGTCACACAGCTGAGACGCGTCAGGGCTAAGATTCAAGTCCAAGTTTGACTCCAAAGCTCGTGCACTTTGCAGCAGGCTTCCTCAGTTTTCTCCAGCTGTGAAGGCGCGCTCACCTAGGCTGACTTCTTCCCCAGCAAGACAACGAGCATTAATTAAGTGCTTGCTGTGTGCCCAGCAGCATCATAGAGGAGGTCCCTGCCCCCGCAGAGTTTACAGTGCGGCTGGGATTACCAGAGTTCCTCTGATGTTTGATGGCCTCGTCTTGAATCTCCAGGCCGATAGGGTCCTCCTACAGTGGAAATAGCTGTCCCTTTGCTTCAGAGTCATGCCCAAGTCACTGACAGGGACAGAGGGGATCTCAAACTCTTTCTCGGTCACCTGATCCGGATCCACCAGATAGGGACATTTTCTCATGGAAGTTCTTAATCTGCTCTGTCCCTAGTCTTTCATGAGGGCATTGTCTCGGGACGATGGGAATAAACTAGGAAAAGAGGGTGGTCAGAAGGTCATCTAGCGGCTGTGCCTTCTCTCCCAAAGGCCCACTTTCCCCAAAAGGCCACAGACATCCCTTGCCTTGCTGGCTGGTCACACAGTGGGGCCAGTGGAGCGGGGGTAGGAACCAGCATGACCCAGAGGAGTCTGAGGGGCACTGAAGGAACCTACAGGGGCCGCTGCCCAGAGCCCCCTGCAGAGGCTCTCCCTCCTCACACACAGAAGGAACACCTTCCCCTGAGCTGGGGGAAGGGCACCTAGCACTACGTTGTGCTGTGGTCTTGGGAACTCCTTTAGCCTTAGAACATGACCAGTTTCCAGGGGATTACTGAGGTCTTGCCTCGAGGCTGGCGGAAGGATTCCATGAGCTCTCCAGGTCACTAAACAAACCGCCTTATGAACTGTTCAGACATTCAGAAAACATAAAGAACAGGATCACAAATGCACATCGTAGCTGCTCTTGGCTTCCATAAATAAACCGCTGTGAATACCACTGTAGGCCCTGCTCACTCTCCTCTTCCTCCCTAAGATGACCATTCTCTGGGATTTGGTGTTTACCACCCTCCAGAGTATTCTTCACCCTAGGATCCCTGCCTCTTCCATGAGGAACCGGCCAAAGAGGTCCTTCGGTCAGTCTTCGGCGTCAGGACACCACTCACCCAGGGCTGCCTGCTAGGGATGCCCCTCCCACCCCACTTCTCTCTCTCTCTCTCTCTCTCTCTATCTCTCTCTCTCTCTCCCTTTCTGGATGGCCGAGCAGACAATCAGTATTTATGTGAATCCACCAGGCCTGCTGGACAGGGAGGCCCAGCAGACAGAGACAGGGTCCCCATCCCCAACATGGGCAGGCTGTAACCCAGACACAAAGCAGATGACCCAGGAGCCTGGCACTCAGGCTGGGCCAGGGGCTGGCCAGTTCCTGCGTCTGATGTCTGCTCCCTGTGTTGTGGGGGGCGTCTCCTCCCGCCCCTGCCTGAGCTTTGTTCTTGTTTGCTCTGGCAGTAGGCAGGACGAAGTCCCTGGCTGAGACCACGGAGAGAATAATAAAAGGTTTATAGCCCCTACCGTGCAGGAAGCAACACAGATGCCTGGCTGGGGGAGTTTGGGGAGAGAACCCCCGGCACCCTCAGGGCACCAGCCTACCCACCAGCAGCGCTCTTTTCTCCAGCTCATCACATGCACATCACAGTCCCAAAGGGACACCTGCTCTCCCGCATTCTGCACGGGCCACCTGCACCCCTCTCAGCGGGCCTCCTGGTTCTTGTCCCGCTGGCTGGGCCCCGTCCTCCTCAGGAAGCCTCCCTGGCCCTGAGCGCGGACCCCCCCCCCCCACATTCCTTCAGTTCTTACACAATCAACTGGCACAATCTCCTCTGGTGAAAAGAGAGCCTTGTGAGCTATGAATGGTCTTCCCTGCCCCACTATGAGCTTCTAGAGAGCAGGGGCCATGGCTGACCCATCCTGGGCATCTTTTACATGTTCACAAGTGGCTCCGTGAGTGTTTGTTGAATGACTCAATGAGCTCTACCACCGCATCCGCCTGAGGGTTTCTCGAGGATGGGGCCACCCATGTCTTATCTTTTCTCAGAATCTCCCAGTAGAAACACTCAAAGGGGCACCCGTTCCTGTTGTTGAGTGACTAGAGGAAAGCCCCAGAAAAGTCTCTGCGGCCAACCCACTCAGCCTCCCTTCCCCCCACTGCTCACTGGCCCACCCAGAGGCCCCTTCCAGGCAGCAGGAGCAGCACCAACCAGTCTCCTCAAGCTCTGAACCCCCTGGCTGATCCTGTTTGGGCTTGATGGGCCTGATCTGAGGGTTTGTCTACTCACTTGCCGGTCTCCCCAAGTGTTTGCATCCCAACCATCCTAAGACAATGAAAGCATGCTCCGTGTGGCTTTCCTGCGTCCACAGCTAACACAGCTGCAACTCCATTCTACGGATGAGGAAACTGAGGCTGAGGACACAGGCCTTCTGACTCGAGTCCCCCAGGTGGCCCTGACCCCCCCTCTGGCTCTCTCTCCTTCCCACGCTGGATGCCACAAAACACAGCCTCCAGGAAAGGCGTCGATGCCTTTAGGCTGGATAGAGAGGTCTCTGAGGATAATCCAAAGCTCTCTGTGAGAGAGCCTTCGCGTCTGTGCAGACCCAGTGCTGCTCTCTGGGTTTCAGGCCAGCCAGAGATTTGGGTGGGGCCTGCAGGTCCCTGATGGAGGTCAAGTAGGCGCCATGCTTCCTCCCAGCCGCCAGCAACTGGGACGACAGCAGATTGCCAAGCAGCACGGACACACTCAGGGGTGATCTGAGAGGCCTTCTCAGCAAGGCATCCTCATCTTGACCAGACACCCAGACACGAGAAGCACCCAGCATCCTTCTCTTGGTGACCACAGTGGTCACAGCTGCCACAGCCTGAGCATACAGCTCAGACGGACACTCTACCTCACCGTGTGACTTCTTTAGAAGAGCCTGGGAGGAAGGAGAATCCCTATTTCCACTGGAGTCGGCTGGGACTCAACGACTAAGTAACTTGTGGGAAGACTTGTAGCTACTAAATGTCAGCCTGCAGATCGAAATGTAAGTCCTTCTAAAGCCGATACCCCAGCAGCCCCTTCACGACCTGCTTCCCGTGAACGGCCACCTGTCCACCCATTAAGACTGCACCTCAGGGGGGCGGGGGGGGGGGGGGGGGGGGGGGTGGGGAGCTCAGCCAGTTAAGCATCCAACTCTTGGTTTTGGCTCAGGTCGCAATCTCAGGTTCCTGAGTTTGGGCTCAGGACACGATCTCACGTTTCTTGAGTTCAAGCCCCGTGTCGGGCTCTGCGTTGGCAGTGTGGAGCCTGCTTGGGATTCTCTCTCTCTCTCTCTCTCTCTCTCTCTCTCAAAATAAATAAAGCAACTTAAAGAAAAGAAAAAAGACTGCTTGCCTAGATCAGGACGTTTTTTTAAAAATATAGTTGACACACAATGTCACATTACTTTCATCCAACAGGTTTATACCAGAACACTTATTTTTCATCTTACTCCTTTATTTTGAATGGGTCGTGCCTTCAAAAAGCCCCAAACTCACACACGACAAAAGCGTATTCGATGAAGTCTTCCCCCCATTCTCGCTCTTGATAAGCTGCAGTTATTCTTCCCAGAAATGACCCCCATTGTCTGGAATATTCTTTCCCCTATCTTTTTCAAAAAAACGACAGGATCTTAACACACATTGCCCCGTGCTTGCCTTTTCTTCTGAACACTGTGTTTCTGGGAAGTATTCCATATCCATACGTCAAGCGTTCAGCATTTCTCTCGAAGACCGCACAGAGTATTGTATGGTCTACCCATCCATGTAACCAGTCCCCCGTGATGGGCATTGGGTTGTTTCCGGTCTTTTGCTGTGTAAAAAGCTTGTTGCTGCCAGAAACTGCTTAGGTAATGTCGCTGTGCCCATTTTGCAAGGACACCTGTGGGATAAATTCGTAGAGGTAAAAGTCGCCGAGGAAGGGAGGGTCTGGAATTCAACGTTAGCAGCGGGAAGCAGAATAGATTGGTGAACGGTATACGGATACCCTTCACCCTGGCTCTGTCACTTACCGGCCGTGTGGCTTCCAGCAAGGATAATGGAACCTCACCACCCCTTGGTTTTCTAGTCTGGTAAAGTGTTGGCTTCCTTGCAGGGTAGCTGTGGGGGTTCAAGTAAAAGAGACAATGTAAGCAAGACGCCTGGCACAAAGCCTGGCTCACGGAGGTACCGAGGAGACAGAGCAATGACCATTTCCCCTGCTCCCCGGGCCTGGGAAGGAACTTCCCGCATTGACCGGCCCTCTTGCCCTCCCCATTCCTCTCCCGCCCCAGGCACTGTGCTCCCAGTGACTCCTTACACCATCTGCCCGACACCCCGGTTCTTCGTGGAGTTCACTGTGTCTCTTGCCCACCAGGTAATAGGCTTCTAGAAAACACAGACCCTCTTAATCACTTCTGAAACACCCTCAGGCTTGGTAGAGGCTTGGTAAAAGGGTTGCTGAATTGAAATCAGCTCTGGAATGTATCCCTCCCGGCTCAACCTTCCCCAATCTGGGTACTTCAGCAGAGAGAGACAAGGGTCACCTGCAGCCAGCAGGCTGTAGAGGCGGCCGGCCTCCGTCGCAGGCTCACAGAGACTGGGTAATCGGGAAAGGTTTCTGAGCCATATTTAAAATCCCCAGCCTCTGCACCCCCATCTCCCACAAACCACCCACACACCCAGAGCCTGGTATAAAGCATTCAGATATTCTACCTCTGGGGAAGGGGGTGAAGAATACTCCCTGGCCCCTGTTCAGCCCCTCCCTCATGTGTCCCCGGTTTGGACCGCGCACAATCAGGGAGATGATCATCGCTAGGGACCGTTGCCCAGAGAGCGTAGGGAGGTGGGAGGAAATCATTTTGATTTCTCTCTGGGAGCATAAATGCTTTTTTAATTGCTGTCAAAGGCAGCTCCTCGGGAATGTATTATTGATAGCGATTGAAATGAAAGCGGCAATCTCTGCTTTGCTGGGAGGTGGCCCTCCCGCCCCCACTCCACCTTCCCCTGCTAGACTTGGGGCCTGAGGCGCCCACCCCTCTCCCCACTCCCCACTCCCCAAATCTCTCCTCTCACCTGCCTTTCCTTCTTTTTGTTCTTTTCCTGTGCCCCTGCCTTGCTTCTGCTCCTTAGGAGGGCTCCTCTCTGGCCTGTTGCCTGTAGCTCTGTCACTCTCTGCCTCTTCCATTAATGCCTGTCCCTCTGGCTGTCCATCACCCCCTCTTACTTTTCCTTAGCTAGCTGCCGCCCCCCCCCATTCTAAATTCCCACCCTGTATTCTCTCTCCAACCAAGAGAGGTGGCATTTCCTGACCGCCCCCACCCCTTCCTGGGATAGGGCGCTCTTTATCCCATCTTCCTCTTGTACCCAGACTTCTACCCATTTCCCGAATCCCCTCAGCCTGCAATTCTTGGTTCGGGCCAGTTGGTCGGGTGAGTTTCCATCTGTGTGGGGCCAGCACCAGCAGAGCCCAGAGGAGCTGTCCCTGAGGACTCTGGGTCCCCCAAGCTCCCTCCTGCACGCAAGCAGTCAGCTCACTTGCCACCGGAGGGCTTCACCTCTCTCCTCTGACTGGAAGCTGCCCGGGGGCTCCCGTGTGGGCGGGGCGGCGGCCTCCTGTGCCTTTAAGAAAGCACAAGCCTCCGGGCACCACCAGCTCCTCCCCCACCCCTTCCCCAGTGGGGGAGGGGAGCCAAGCTGGATATACCTGCAGTGCCCCCTCCAGACAGCTCATAAATAATGGCTGATCTTCCCGCGGGGGACAGGAACTGTTCCGCTCTCGTGGAGCCTGGGAGAAGGGTGACAAGGCTCGTTTATCTATCTCCTCCTGTGCTCTCCTGCTGGCGCGAGCACGCGCCTCTTGCCTCTTTCCCCCTCTTCCCTTACCCCTTTCTGCCTCCCAGAATCTGTGAGAAGGGACTGGGATGAGGAAGAGGGGCGAGTTTGTTGCCTGCTTCCCCTGAGGCTTTCAATATGCCTGCCCCACACCACCGCCCCCAAATGTTTACTGAGCAGCTATTAAGCGCTGCTCACTTAGAGCAGCAAATCCTGGCCACCCTTCCCCCCCCCACACACACCCCAAATCCACCTTTTGCCCCAGGGAGCCAGGGGCCCTGATCAGAGCCTCACTCCACATCCCGAGGGGTCAGAGCGATAGACTCGAAAGGACTTGATGGGAAAGCAAACCTAGTTGCATCTGATGTGAGCATGGTTTTGGACTTTAGACCAAAGTGCAGTGAGTTTCCCAAACCTCTCTGATAGCCCCCCAGTTCCTGCCTCCACTCCCCTGTGCTGGGGCTTCAGCACCCCCACCGCCACCCCCCCCCACCCCCCACTCACACTGCCAGCCTGGTCTGGTTCTGCTGGGCTGGGTCAGACCCTCCTGATTGGGTTCCAAGTCAGCGCTTCAACCTGCCTGTTACCCCCTCGGCCAAGGCCAGGCTGGTGTTGGAAGCCGGGAAGCAGATTTCTCCCCAGAGTCTCTGAGGCTGCACCCTCTTCGCTCAACCGTGCTGGAAACCCACTCAGAGGGCACCAGCCACCTCCATTACCAGGAAGTGCTCCCCCCACCCACCCAAGGCCACCGGCAGACCCGAGGGACCCTAAGCTGCCTGAAGTGCTGCCCTGGGGTTCAGCTAATGGCAGGCCTGGCTCCGGATGAGGATGTGGGGAAGCGGCAGGCAGGGATGCAGAGAGGCGGCTGCCTCTGTTCTAATCGCTGCAGCAGGTAAGCAGTCGCCCAGGGTTGGTTGGGGTATGTGGGCCCGGCGCCAGCCTGGAGCCCCCTGTGTGTCACCCTGTGCACCACCACCCCCAAACCACCCCCCACGCTCACGCCTTTCACCCAAACAGAGCTGGGGAGGTCTCCATCTCCTTCCCTGCAACTCCTGCCTGCGCCTCTTCCTCCCCACCTCTTCAGCTTCTGTTCCACCTTCCCTTCTCTTTCTTTGTCTCTCCCTAAGTGATCGCTGCCTCCTTTCTTTCTCCCTCCACCCTTCCCTTCCCATTCTCCTCCATGCTCTCTCCCTCCCTCTCCTGAGTCCCTCCCCACCCCGCAAACCCACCCCACCTTCCCTCCTACCACTATATTTAGCTCAGAGCCAGGGGGTTGGAAAGGCACACTGGGCTGGCAGCTAGTCTTGAAGGGTCTGTCAGTGTTTCCATGAAGAGGCCCAGCTGGGATGAGTTTATAACTGAGCTGTTTCTTTTTCCACCATCACGCCCCGGGGGGGGGGGGGCGGGGGCAGGGAATGGAGGCAGGGAGGGAACCTCCAAGTACTGGGGTGCTCTCCCCAGAGGTGGGCCAGCTCATCAAGGGAGAAAGGAAGTGCAGATTCATTTACAGAGTGGATCTGCGCTCAGGCTCCAGCACAGGTTAGGATTCTGTCCTAGGTTAGGACCTTGGGGAGACTGAGGACAGAGCCCTTCCTAACAAAAGGTGGACCAAAGAGTTGTTCTCCTAATGTGACCTGAGGAACCTTATTATTTTTTTTTAATGTTTATTTATTTTTGAGAGAGAGAGAGAGAACACAAGCGGAGGGAGGACAGAGAGAGGAGACACAGAATCTGAAGCAGGCTCCAGACTCTGAGCTGTCAGCACAATGCCCGACGCAGGGCTCAAACCCATCAACTGTGAGATCATGACCTGAGCCGAAGTTGGACACTTAACCAACTGAGCCACCCAGGTGCCCCGATCTGAGGAACTTTAAAAGACACCTTTCCCCACAGTATGACACCAGCGTGCCATGGACTCTGAAATCCCCCCACTATAGCCATTTCTTTCTGCGACATCAACACATTTAGAAGATCTGTAAAAATCCTATCGATATCTGAGGGACACTTTCCCGCTAACTACGTGGTGTGAACACACCCCTGCTTTTGATCCTCACAATTACAAGATCAGGAGAGCTAATACGGTGACATAGGACATAGCTTGCTTGAGGACACCCAGTTTAGTATGCGCTAAAGCTTGCACACAGGCCTGTCATCTCTAACTGTTGCGTTCTCTCTGCTGCAGTGAGTACCCGCCCCCCACAGGCTATCAACCACCAGGAAGCACAACCAGAAGGTCAGAGCCCCCTCTCCCCGCCCCCCTGCAGCGGGATCAGACAGAGACCTGGATACAATTCGGTTCTACCACTCAATGCTGAGCCCCCTTGGATAGTTCCCTTCACTCGTGAGTCCCACAGAGGACTCACGTGAGAATCGAAGGAGATCATGTTCTAAATGCTTGGCACATATTAGGCATTCAAGAAGGGCAAATGGTATCCCTGGTAGGTTAACGTAGGGCATGGAGCCCCAAAGGCAGAAGACATAGGACAGCCACATTTCAAGGGGGAGCATAACAGGGTCCACCAGGTGTGGAGTATAGCGGGGTAGGTGAGCGGCGACCTGGCTCACATACAGCAGGTGCACAAGAGCGGCAGAGTGGAGGCGGCTCACATGCCAACTGCTGTGTCGTCCCTGGTGTGGCCCAAAAACCTGCGGCGTATAAACAACATTCACGTCCATCTGTTCATTTGCTCCTAAGGGTGGGAGGATGGCTTGGAAGGATGGACAGGGTCAGAATTATAATCCCCATTTTACAGGTGTGGAAACTAAGATCTAGAAAGGGGAAATAATCTGCTCAAGATCACAGCGAATTATTTCACTCACTCCTTCATCAGATATCTAGTGAGTGTCTACGATCTACAGATGCTGTGTTATACCTTGGGCAGACCCAGAACACAGGGTGGGAATACCCAGACCTCTGAGTTCTCTATGCCAAGACCCCCCCTGTGGCCTGTGGGCCACACTTACTGGTTCAAGTGGTGAGAAGTGGTGGTTGAGGCTGAGCACGGAGCCAAGAAACAGCCTGATGTGGACCATCTCCAACCCTTTGGCCTTACCTCTCACCAGCTTCACGGGGCTCCCGCTGCCATGTTTCTCTGAAAGGTGGGCAAAGAAGGAGCAGAGTAAAGGGAACCCAAGTCAGTAGACTTCTTGGTCTCTTGGGCCCTTCTAGGTTCTTTACCTTTCTAAACCCAACCACAAAAGCCATATCTACCCCCCTGTGGGAGGATGGCTGTTCCCCCGGGCTTGGGACCCAGGAGTCCTGACTCTTCATCCAGAGCAGGGCTTGAGAGACTTCAAGCCAACCAGGGGACAGGTGGGAAGAGACGTTCCATTCCATCCATTCCTCAACCTTCTGGGACAAAGGAAGTTACTTCCCAGCTTCTTAAGCTACACCTATGGTTTCCTCTTGGGCTGGGATGGCCATTTGTAATGAGATAATGGGATGGCCATCAATGGCCATCAATGAGATAATGATGCATTAAAGGGCAGGGGAAGAGAGAGTTGTCAACGGACCACGGGATAGGGAGGGTGTTACCTGAGTAGATGCGCAGTTCCCCCATCCGGGCATCCATGCAAACACTCTCTCACTCCGCACTACAAGACAGCTGTTGACATTCATTTCCTGTTCCTCTTGCTTCTTTCCTCACAAGATGCGTGGGTGGGAAGCAAGGAGACTTTCCAGAAGTCACCTCTTCCCTCCATCTCCCTCTAGGAAGAACCACACTCACTCCTCAGGCGGATAAACCGATTCCCCCAAGTAGCTCACGCCTGGAGTGAACAGTCTTTAACGTCGAGAAGCTTTTACTATGTTTAATCCGAAGGCCCCGAGGCATCAGCTAAGCTGTGTCTGCCACCCTCCCCCCCCCCCACTGACCCCTTTCTCTCTCCTCTTTGCTATTCTGTTTTCCATTTGCTTCCTTATTCCCATGGCTCCTGGGAAGAGGCGAGGACTTGGAGTCCGAAAACCTCATTCTGAATCCCAGCTCTATTGCTCACAGAGGAACGGGCACAGCCTTAGATTCTTCGAGCCTCAGTTTCTCCATCTGCAAAGGGAACATAATAATACCCAGTTGCTGTGAGGGTCAAATGCAATCATGGGCCGGAAGCTGTTTTGTGAACGGTAAACTACCATGCTTGAGGGAAGGCTGGTCATTAATTCCCCTTGTTTCTCGGGCACCAAAGAGAGGAGAGCTGGGGCAAGCGACGGGACTCCAGGTCAAAGACGGAGACTGCACATCTGAACGCCAGCCCTGCCCTCTGGCTCTCCAGGCCACCGTGGGAAAGCTGTGGGGCCTCTGAGCCTTGGTTTCCCCATCAGTAAGGAAAGAGTCATTAGGCGCATCTCCTTCCTCCAGCTGAGGAGAGGAGTTTGCTCGTAAATGACGGTTGCTCACTCTCTCTTTTAGAGACGCTGTGAGCTCACCACCGCCAATTACGGTTTATTGAGCACACATGACTCCGTCTTCCGCGCTGGATAAACAGACCTTTCAAAGGCGTAGGCCTTGCCCAGGAAGGGCTCCCAACCAGCCCTGCCGGGGGGCAGAGCAACGCATCATCTCTGTGCTCCTCTGCTCCCGGATGAACTCACCTGAGCAGAAGCGACACCTGGGTGTCACCCATGGCACCGGCCACCAACAGCCAGCGGGACCCCAAATGAGCAGAGAGAAGGAAGGGTGTCCTCCTCACATCTGGGACGACTCGGCTGCCAGGAGCTCGGTGTCCCTTGCAACTGTCCCTCATTTCTGCTCCTGCCACCCCCCTGGAGGGGCTTCAGGGCGGTACTGTTGAAGTAACCTCCAAACTCGTCCCCACAGCTCTGGCCTTGCCTCTCTCCCCCCCCCCCCCAAGCCCACCCGCTGCTGTCAGATGAATCTTCGAAAACCCTCCTTTAGCATCTTAGTTTCCTGCTTGGCACCGTCGGTCATTCCCCGGCGTCTAATGGATACAGTTCAAGGGCGACGCAGTGTGACACAAGGGTTAAAACCACTTCGGGATCAAGAGAAGCCTGGCTCTGCCCTCCATGGGTAGGTTGCTCCAACCTCTGTCTATCTCCTCAAGGGCAAAATGAGGCCAAGAGCACTGCTGTTCTGCTGTGATAAAACCTTACAATGTGTGGAGGCACCGTGCCCTAGGTCAGAGAAGTTATTCGGTACAGGGGCGCCTGGGGGGCTCGGTCAGTTACGTGTCTGACTCGCTTTCGGCTCGGGTCATGATCTCACAGTTCGTGGGATTGAGTTTGGGATTTTTCTCCCTCCCTCTCTCTCTCTGCCCCTCCCCTGCTCACACGCTCTCTCTCTCTCTCTCAAAACAAATAAAGAAACTTAAAATAAAAAAAGAAGGGGCACCTGGGTGGCTCAGTCCGGAGTCCTGAGACTCCGGCTCAGGTCACGATCTCGCGGTCCGTGCGTTCGAGCCCCGCGTCGGGCTCTGTGCGGACAGCTCGGAGCCTGGTGCCTGCTTCGGATTCTGTGTCTCCCTCTCTCGCTGCCCCTAACCCACTCGCATTCTGTCTCTGTCTCTCTCAAAAAGAAACAAACATTTAAAAAAATTAAAAAAAAAAAAAAAAAAAAAGAAGTTATTCAGTCTACGTTAGCCGCCTTCAGCTTTCCTTGCTATGACTTCCCTCCACATCTTCCCCGGCCAGGGACACAGCGTGCTCCTACCTGCACACTCACCCTGGGGGTTCTGGGAGACTGACACTGACAACCAAGGCGTCATATTCTTAAGGGCTAGGAGGACGTGGAGAAGAAGGTAAAGGGCTTTGGGATGATAATCAGGCTGCTGACATACCAGGTTAAGGCTTCAAATGGAAAGGTGCAAGCAAGTCTACCCCAAGTACTGTGAGCGTCGGAGGCTCCAGGAAGGCAGGAAACTCACCCTGAGATAAGAACACTGGTCCTTGATATATAAGAAAGACTCCTCGGATAACCGAGCATGTCATTTAAATGGCCTTGGCACAGCTCCTGGGGTACCCAGTCCAGATTCTTTCAAAGAAGACTATAATAATAATAATAAAACAGCACCATTGGCTGCAGAGCTCCAGCCCAGCAGCCAGGAGCCCGAGGAGCACAGGGACAAGGGGCCAGTGGGCACAACACAAGCACAACCAGCAGCGTGAAGATGACTTCATTTACCGAGTTATCAAAAACCACAACGTCTGCCAAGCAAGAGTGTGAGTCACCAGGACCCACAGGAAAGAGGGCCCAGTGACAGTGTGGGCTGGGGTGGGCACCAAGTATTTCGAATCCTGACCCAGTTCTGAGACCTTACACTCTCTGAGGCTCAGTTTCTTTATCTTCAAAAATGGGGATGATCTAAACGCTGACTGCATCGCCTTGTTTGGGAATTAAATGAGTTCATCTGTGTAGAGGGGTTTAGCAATACACATGACTTATTTTGATAGCCGAGTTCTTGATTTATCCAAAGTTGGGGGGGGGGGGAAGGGGGGAGGGGGGAGAGGGGAGGGAAGGGCCCCGTTCTTTCTTCGTCTTCCACTGCCCCTGGCAAGAGCCCTTGGCTTCGATTAGACTGACCTCAACTCTGACACTCTTTGGAGGGGAGATCCCCCAAAGCTCTGGCCTTCCTGCCTCGGTTTCAGCCATCCCCCGGGAGGCCAGATGACCAAGTCCAGACTTTCGAAAGAGTCAGGGCCTGCATCAACCCTGACACCACAGCCTTCCATAACTCTTCCTGTGGCTACGACAAAGCTAGGCACACACCTAACACTAATGCTGTTTTGAATGAGTGAATGAGCTGACCTTAGAGCATTAGGTTGCTGAGATCAGTGTGTGGGGTTCAAGCTATCAGTGGCTCTCAGAGTCCAGGCCACCCTTGCTGCTCTGTGCTGCTGGTCAATCAGGGATGGAGGAGTGAGTGTGCATGGGCCTCCCACCACGCAGCTGGGACAAAGGCATGTGCCCTGCAGAGGGGTCCAGAGCCTTTCCCCCGTTCACCTTACTGCATTCTGCGATAGTGATCTAGTTCAGAGTGACGGGGGCCACGTAGGAAAAGAAATAACCAGATAGAACCAGACTGAGACGGCAACAGAGGTGCTGCTGTAGGGGGTAGGCTGGGGAAAACTTCAGACAGGCTACGAATACAGTCCAAGCGAACACGTTTCCCTGTGCTTACATGAAAGGAGTTGGTGCCGGGGATCTAATCAGCTTAATAGGGCATAGCAGACAGACAGCCAATCGTCTGGAGCCTATGAGAAGTGGTGGCCACTGGGAGAACAGTTCAAATGCAGAAGGAGCCCAGCCAAGGGGGCATCCAGCCTTGGGGAGGCACTGTGGACTGGGCCAGAATGAAGCGAAAGACTGAAAAAGCACTGGTCCCCTGTCGGATTGGAAGGGGCTCTAAGAGGGGACACAGGAGCCTGGCAGGCGGGGCTGCCTCATTAATCCTAGGTTGGAACATTCTTCAGCTTGCCTCCCTCAGGCATTTGCTAGTTGGGATAGGATGTTCTTCCTCTCATCTAAGCACCGAATCTCCACATGAAGAAGAGGAGGCCAGAGGGGAAGAATACTGTGGAGGTAATTAATACAAGCCCTGCTTCTCCCAGTGGTAATTCAAAAACTGGGGCTGGCCAGAAGCCAAGATGGGTGCGGGTGCCAGGGAAGAGAGGGAGGGAGCAAACAGGAGTGACTGGCACATTGTCCTCTTGGCTTCATGCATTATAGCAATATCTTACCTGACAGGTAGAGAAATCTGTGACCTAAGATGCGGCCTTGAGATTTGACGACAACACCGGCTGAAGTCCCTTTGCGCTTGTGGGTAAAATCTCCCCCCGCTGATTCTCTGAACGGGAGGAGCCTTGGATTGAAAAGGAGGGGAGCAAGGCCTCCAGGTGTCCCAGGGTCTCGAGGCAAAGAAGATAGTTGTTCGGTCTTGGGAATGAGAAGGTACAGCCCGGACAACTTCTCAGGAGGATGTACGATTGTCTACTGACCAACTGCCATTCCCCTACCTAACCCTGGTAACCTAACATCCTTAGGGCTGTTCCTGGGATTCAATGCAGGCTGGGGTCACCTCAAAAGGAGGGCTCCTAAGGCACGCTGCTTTGCCTCTGAATCCCCATGGCCTTGCCTGTCCTATCAGGACAGTACTGCCCGAAGGCTTGGCCTTCCTCCATCATTGACACATTCCACCATGCTTTTCCTGATGAAATCAGGTTAAGCCAAACTCCAGGGAAACTCAGAAGGGGCAAGGAAGTAAAAAATGGTCAGTGTATAACAGGAGAGGTGGGGAGCAGGAGAAATTCACTCTTGTTCCCTGGGACTAGTGGAAAGAAACAATATACATATTTTAATGAGTATGGGTCTCAAGTCCAAAATTAGTCAGGATTTTTTTTTTCATTGCAATGAAAAGAAACGCAACTGTCCCCGGCTTGAGCTAAATCTGTGAATATATCAGGCTGGCTTCATACAGAGCTCTCAGCGTGGTCAAGACCGATTTCTTTCCAACGTATAGTTAGACTTTCATCTACATTGGCTCCACTTTCCGGCAGACATTGGCAAGGTGGTCCCAGGAACCCCAGGTGTTAACCTTACTAGCTTTCATTCTACTGGAAGGAATTTTGACCAAAGTCCCAGATTTGAGTCTTACTGCCCAGTTCGGGTTTACATCCCCACTCCTAGAGTCAGGTGTGGGATCATCTGCTCCCACACTACAAGATCGGAGGGTGGAGGGGCAGTAGTTTTTCAAATAAAAGTCAAAGTGCTGTGAGCAGAAGCTGACAAAGCAAAAAATATCCACCTCCGACCCCATCTTGGAT